ACTACAAACACCAAGCACAACACTCTCTCAAAAGGCTTCATCAGTCCATTTAGTCCTTATTCAAACAGTCCGGAACTGAAACTATATGCTTGACTGGACAAGCCTGCCCAGCTGCTACTCCGTCAGCTGTGGAACGTTGAGCGCCGTGTGAACCTGACAGTTCACACTGTATTGCTGGTAGACATGCACAACTGCCGCAACTTTTGGAAATGCTTTCAGTCAAATCACCTCAAACCATTCTCACAGAACATATGCAGTTGGACAAGTACTACTAAGTACTACAGCGTAGACCAAGTACACCTTAGCTGTAATCACACTCGTGGACTCATGAGCATTCCCAGAACTCAAACTGCTGGTTGTGAAACGTTTCATTTGCTAGCACTCCTGAATGTCAAGTTGCAAACATGATCAGGTGTGGTGTGGGCCTGTAGAAGAAGAGAAGCTGGAACCAACAGCCTGCCAATACCACACACATCGAATCAACTACAGACTACAGACTACAAACTATTGCTTGTCCCTGCTTGGCAATCCGAGTCCAAACCAACTTGATCTACTACTATTAGGAAAAGAGCATCATCCAACACGCGTTTGCCTGAAATCATTTTCCAATCACATGAGGGGTTCGCAGTCTTCTCACTGTATAGGCGCTGTATAGGTCATTCCAACACTCTACAGGCAGACATAGGGCCATAGGCAAACCAAAAATGATGTTTGCACGCCTATCAAAAGGGCGTCACTTCTCCATATCACGCCCATCCAAATATACATCAACATGTGAGCCTGTGAGGTGCATCCTAGATGCAATCTCAGCTTCCTCACCACTTGTCAGATCAGAACCATTGCCAGCGTCGTCACTGACACTGTCACACTCTCCTTTAGTACGATCATGGTTTTTCTGGTAACAGTCAGGCAAATCAGTGGCTTCTGACCCCCATGGATCCAATACGCGGCACTTCCATTTGGCAAGCCTCCCACAGTCACAGCGAGTCATACGAATTGCTTTCACACGCATGGTCGGATGAAGCGGCCCAAATGGATTCACTCGCTTTGGAACTCCAAGTGACTCCAGCGCAGTGTTTGTTGCCTTTGCTAACTCAAAACTAGTTGAAGAATCAGCCGAATCAGCGCAGTGGACAGAGAGTTGCACTGGCCCCCATGGATGTGATTTGCCAGGTTTGCCATCCATCATAGTGGGTTCACATTGAGGTTCACCATCACCGTCACTGTGAACATCACTTTTCTTTTCATTGGAACCAACCGTGCTTGAGGGGCATGTGATGTCCAAGGCTGTCTTCGTCAAGGTCACATTCCATGGACGGTTGGCTCCATGAATGGTGATAGACACACCCGCTCCCAACGCTTGCGTCGACGACATTGCAGATAAGTCAAGGGAACTTACTGCTACCCTGATTTGTGTTCTTTGCAAAAGCTATAGCTTGAACCAACTGTCCAACAAAACCTAAAATGTGAGATGTTGATGTCAGCCGTCAGCAAATGCATGCAATTCATGAACATAAGAAAAAAAACAACCAACTTTATCTTTAGGCTTTGGAGAAGAAACCGCATGGACACAAGACGTTGTACTGTGGCACTGGCACATTACTTCTGGTGAAAATCATGATTAAAATGATGGTGCAGTTATTAGTTGTTAGCATTTCCATGGATTCAATGGCAACAAGAAACAACTCCAGTGATCAGTTGCTTGTGAAACCCCACCTCCGATGATTCTGCCATTGAAGAACCAGTAGCCCAATGTTTGCAAGCGCAGCAAAAGAACCTGAGAATCAGTCATTTTTAGCAATGGTAAGACCCAGCTCAGTCTACCTCCTAACTGCTTAGACAAACTAGCTTGGCAGCTGCAAGCTAACACTTCGACGCATTAGCTTAAACAACTTCCGGCGTGCATGTGCATTGGTATATCGCTGCTGTAATACTCACAAGTTGTGTTTCCGATTTATCATCTAATGTTCTAACTGCCTAACTGCATATATATTATATACTAAGTTGTGTATAGCAACCTTACCCTCTGGCGCTTCTGGGGCACCCAGCTCAAGCGAACTCTCAAAGGGGTCTTGCCAGACATAGTTTTCAGGAAGTTGAGGAGGAAGGGGCCAAGGTGAGCGACGTCTCTTCATGTTTGCCATTGGGTTTGATTTTGAATCAACCTCTTGGAGAGCTCTAGTGTAAGCGGCCATGACTTTCTTAAAGCAACTAGCATGTGCGGTCACCAAGCAGCATGGGCATACTACACACTCTCC